TTTCGCCACCTCCGAGACTCAAAGCGTTTCATTCTAGTCATCCTGTCTTCTCCATTTTTGAAAAAACGCTATTAGCGCCCTCTTGAGCTCATCGTATGAATATGTTGCATACTCTGCCTTACTGTCGTACAATTGTCTCGCCCGCCCCGACAGCTTCGATATTATCAGCACCGCCATCTTTTTCTTAGGCACCTCGTATGCATCCCGGACCGCTTCAACCCGTTCGAACCACGCCTCAATGCATTGCTCGACGACCCGTCGAATATCGGTATCGTCGCCAACAACTCGCTGCTCGAGATGCCCTCGTTTTTGTCGCTGGTTGTCGCCTTGATAAGGGCAATCAAGTCCGTCAACGATAGCATTCTTAAGGCTTCGGGCACCAAGCTCTCAGCATCACCACCAGTAGCCATCTCCAAATCTTATTTTATTTTCACAATCTCGAGTTTTTAATTACAAATATCGCAGCTCCGCGACTCGCCGACGTCGATATCACGCACTACTTTTGATATTTTCTCTCCACTCTGTTCTTATTTTGGTTACCCACGTGCTAACCTCACTTTAGCACAACAACACAAAACACACAAAACTTACAAAATATCACCTGCACTTGTACGATAGCGAAGCACACCTTGCTTTCTATCGCACCCCGCAATTATAACCCGCCTGATTAATAACACGGGCACTCAAAAAAAAAAGATTATTGAAATCGCCTATTTCAATAATCCACACCAATAATGTTCTCTAATAAAATTCTCCACGTTTTGATCCTATCCCACTTCTGAGCTTTAAGCTAGCTTTATTCTAGCATTAAGTAATTAATAAAAACACCTTTTACTTCATACAAATACATTTAATAATCCACAAAATTAACACAACGCCGAACTGTTCAACACTCAAGTTACCGCCAGACTCCGACTCGCACATAGATACATACTTCTGTTCCGTAAGGGATCAGACACTCTACATATGACACACCATAGAGCACATACACGTCAGGATAGACACTCTTGGCCGTTATATTCAAATGACAGACATACAATATTATATATATATTATATATATATAATAATATATATATATATATATATATATTAGAGGTGGTCGTTGACGGTTTTGCGAACGAAACGGTTATCGGGGTTTCGTCAACTAGTTAAATAACTAGTTATTTTTCAACTATAGTTATTTTTAACGATTCAACGCTGGCAACGTTAGAAGAACTGATAGTTGAAATAACTGTTCATTGAAAGTTGGTGAAATGAAGTTTGTTCTATAAAAGTCAAGTAGAGGTTGTCAACTGATTTGATGAATAAAAATAAATAAATGTGAATTGTCACATTTATTACACACAGAATATATATAGAATATATAGATATATATATATATATAGATATATATAGATATATATAGATATATTATTATTATATAATAAAAAATAATGGTTTAATTTAAAAAACTTAAATATTTTCATTACAGCAAAGCCGTATACTAAAACATTGAATTTACATGTTATATAAAAATAGCAATATAAAAAAAATATAGTTACATAAAAATGTTATGAAAAATAAAGAATCAATTTTCAGGTTTAGTTTAAAAAAATTATTACAAGACAAATGCTATGAGATTTTTATGAAAAATATTAACCATTGAAAACTATAATAAATGTAACTGATTTTCTAAAATTAAACGATTTGGGCGCGTGTTGCAAGTTTCTTTTAAGATGTACATGTACATTTGCAATATTATAAAAGCAGTAGCCTAACAATAAGCGATTTTCATAGTATTAGTTGATCCTTTCCGACGCAGGTACCTGCCTACGTTCGTTTTCGACAACGAACGAATTCCTATATCGTTGAAAAAACTAACTGGCCGCCATGTTTTCAACTGCTTCGAAACCAGTTGATTTTCAACTAGTTATTTCGTTGCGACGAAACGGTTAGTTAGTTAACAAAGAAGAAACGGTTGAAAATAACCGTTCGTTGATTCAACGCCCATCACTAATATATATATATATTATATTATATATATAGATATATATATATATATATATATATATATTTACATTTAATTTCAGATCCACAAGATTTCTAGATTCATTAGGAAGCCGATATGAGCGGTGAGAAAAATCCATCTTTTGTGCCGGATGAACCTTATAATTAGTAAGTTATATATAGGTATATATAATATATATTATATAATATATATATATATATGATGATAATTTTGTCGACGTTGATACATATTTGTAATATTTTTGCAGCCCAGCCGTCGAATTAAAAAAAAGATTAAATAACAAAATTATTTATTTCATTAAACGTTTCGATAGTTGATGTGTGTCATCATTCAGTAATCTAAAAAAACATGTAACATAAAACACAGTTGATGATAAATATAATATATAAAAAGGCGGAAATTATACATACCAAACCAGGAAAAACAACAGAAAACATTAATTATAATGTAAAATTGATTGTACACTAAATTTGTGTAAAATAATAAAATACTATTATATTAATAAACGAGAAAATAGGAGGAGCACATATTGCCCTCCTATATTTGATATTATTGATAGCATTGCATTGTGGGCACTGTTCAAGGTTAAAAGTACAACGCAGTGTAGACGCGCACGTGTAATGGAAGAGTGGGAGAGAATTGCGAGAAAAGAAAGGGGAAAGAGAAACAGAGAAGAAATATAACGAACGAAAGATTCTAAAACTGTATTGAATTACTTTTTAGGCAATTAATGATTACTTTGTAACTGTCATGTAAAAAAATGAGAGGAATTACGTTTGTTCACACAAGAAGTATTAAGGGATATAAGTAAAGACTCAACTATCTTTCTAAGGGAAGTTTTTTTTCAATGTAAAGGATTGAAGGATTTGACATGTTCCAAGTGTGGTTCAGGTTTATCATATGTTCAGAGAGCATCGTCTTGAATTGATTCGGTTTCTGGAATTATATATATGTTGATTAACCCTCCTGTATATATATTGGGAAGTTTCATCAATGTAACAAATATTGCAATCATTGCAGTCCATCTGCAAACAGAATCAGTAACCCTATCGGCGGGAGTTTTTGATTTAAAGAAGAAAAAAGGCAACGGAAAGTGTTGTCAAAAATTAAAACAAAAATAAAACCTTCAGCGGCAAATAACTTTTTAAAAAATAAGAAAAACTGCTTAAAAGTGTAAACAAATAAACACCTTATATTTATCTAAAGAGGAAGAATTAAATTTTGAAGAAGAATGTTAAGATAGGAAAAACTGTTAAATTGTTGTGTACATAAACTCTAATCTATTTTACATGACGTTATTAATAAATATGAAGGATAAGATTATTATTTCAAAACAGCACGAAACTAAAGATAGGTTTTTTCCCAAAATAATCTATCACTTAACAAAATGGCCCTATCTATAAGGAAACTGAAATTTTTATAGAA